ACACGTGGATATTTTAAGATAAAGCATTTAAGCAATTTGCAATCCTGGAATTACAGAGTGCTCTTGTTTTTCTCTTGTATACCATGTGATAAACTGATAGGAAAAACTGATCAACTGTTTTTGTCAACAGGCATGTTATCTACGCTCCAAGCAGCCACAACAAGTATGCAGGGGAGTCATTCCCGGGAATTTATGATGCTCTGTTTGATATTAAAAGGAAAGTAGACCCTTCCAAGGCCTGGGGAGAAGTGAAGCGACAGATCTCTATTGCAGCCTTCATAGTACAGGCCGCAGCAGGGACTCTGAAAGAAGTAGCCTGAGAAGGTTTTTGCAAGAGTTAATATTGAATTAGTAAACGACCTAAAAGAAATCACTACAGACATACTGATAACCTCAAAAAAGTTGGTTTATAAATAACATATATATATGTTATTTTTACATTAATATATGTATTCATAAAAGCATTCACAGTTCTCCAAGGGGATCGAAAGAAATGGACACTTTTTATTCTATACTTACACAAAGCTACTCTAAAGTTGATCTAGGTATTAAAACTAAGGAGGAATAACTATACTTAAATTCCTATCTGTGTGAGTCTGAGTAGACTATAGAAACAAATTCATAGACACTCATATTTGTATAAGAAAGAGCGTAATATAAAGAGTAATTGTAAATTAACACCCCCCCTCAAAAAAGAAGCATCCAGTGCAGTCCAGATCAAGTCCATTAGTGCAATATTAACCCATATGTCCGATACCAATCTATAAAGTCCTCTTCAGACTCACGAAACACATGCAATGACACCAAATGCAGGAAGATCACAGGCCAGTGGGTGAAGTCTTGTGAATCCAGTGGCGCTGGAAGCATCTCAGCATTGGCCGGGGTCTCCACCTGGCTCATCCAGCTCAGGGCACTTGGATAGCTCCGTATGTCTTGTCAGCTGCAATGTCTCCCAGGGAGTGAGCCTCTGTCCTGCCTCGAACCAGCTATTTTAACTCCTTAGCGCCTCCAAATGAGGTCATCATGCTGGCATCCGATTGACAGGCTAAACTCCACCCCTTCACTCCTAACCCTCAAATTGACAACAGATTATGTAACGAATCCAACATGTAAGTGTGTCAAGTCCAACTGGTCTTTCCAAATTCAAATACATTTATGTAGTTTTGCACATTTAAAAATGTCACTATGTGATAGAACACAGA